TTATTTATTTTTTTTTTAAATGTATTTCTTATTTCTGAATTTTCATTATTTTCGAAACTAAAGCTAAAGACTAAAGAATGCTTTGTTTAATCAACTTAGTCTATAGGACATTATTATTTAGTCTGCAGTATGCCTAATAGCTGTTATCTAAAGCATTGAAGTTTGATCAAGAATGGGTCTTATTATTTACCAGGATCATATAGACTTTTTATTATAGAATGGTGTAAGAATATGCATTTATGAAAATATTCTATATTGGCTATATCAAATTCAATTCTTGTAGCACTATAAAGTGGTCTATGCTCCATCTCACAGCTAGGAAACCTTTGCAAGAGTATTCAATGTTCGTTGACTGTTTGCTGTTGAGTCTACTGATGCAGCTGTTGGTCGATACACATGCTTAGGTTTGCATATTCATTGATAGAGGCAATTGCAATTCGGCAACATTTATTTTGGCATATTTTAACCCTCGCACTTACCTCAATGGCCATCTCGAAGTCCTTAACATCAATTTCGCCGCTTTGGTTCACATCTGTTGGCGCAGCATTGTTATTTTTTTTTTTTCCACATTGCAACAATGCGCATTCCGCATGAATAGCAATGTTTGGGTGTTTTGTCCGGTTGTTGGTCAGTTCGGTTATTTGTCCACATGAAATAAACAACACAACAGAGCGAGAGCGAGAAGGAGAGAGTGAGTACAAAAAAGCGGAAATAAACATTAATGCAAGTTAAACGGTTTTCATGGCGGCGCAGCTGGCAGAAAGTCGCACTTCCTGACCACTTTGTCCGCATCCCTTGGCTGTTGGCCATTTCGGCAAGGCCATGTCATTTGCATTGCCCAGCCAACGAGCTGCAACGGTGTGCAAATTGCCACTTCTAGTTTCAGTGTCAAGCGTTTGGCGCTTGCATTTTATGGCAGCTGCAGCTGCTGCATGGCAGAAGGCCAAAAAGCCAGCTAAAGCGGCGCTCTGCTGTTTACTACCTGACAATTACTCATAATCGAAAAGCACTCGACCTTAGCCGCAGAGCGCAACACGCGCTTCGAGAGCAACACAATGTGTTGCCTACTTTGCTGCGCCAAACAAAAATATGTGCAGCTCGGCTTACAAGCGAAAGCTTGGTAAATCGCTCAGTTAGATGCATTTTCATTGCAGGCAAATTGAATAGAAAGAGTTTCAGAGTTAAACTTAAAACAATCTCAATCTGAAAGGCGTGGCCCAGCTTCAGCCTGTCGAGGCAATATTTACACAGTTTGTGAACTTGGGTTGATTGGCCAGCTGCCAGCTGGCCAGCTGGTCTGCGGTAGGTAAATGGAATGCCCCTAATAATACAGTATTTAGCCAGCTCATACAATAAATTTCGCATGCGTATGTGTGTATGTATATACATGGAGCTTATGAGCTCTATCGCATGTCCGATTGCTAAGCTCCGTCTTTCAATTTGTCGCCTGGAACTGCTTTAACTTACCGAAGAACACGTTGAACAGGAACAGCAGCTTCTTCTTGCGGAAATCGGAGATGGACATTTTTGTATTTTATTAGTTTTGGTTTATCTGCTTGGAGTTGGCGTTAAAGTTTCCTGTCCGTGCTGACGCTGACAGCTGCAAGCGAGCGAAAAGAGAAAATTGGATAGCGAACTCGTTAAGCAAGAGAACAATAAAAATTGGCAAATAAAATTCACTGCAAGTGGAAAATGTCTTTAAATTTAGAGAGCACTCAATTAGGGGCTGCCACGCTTAAACGGGCGTGTCAGCCATCTAAATCTCCTGGTCCGTTGTTGTCCCATAAAACGAAAGAATGCGCTAGAGCACAAAACGGGTTGCACTGCCAGAGCCTGCACCCTGCCTACCCCGCTCGCTTTGGCTTAGATGATGCCAGCTAATTTAGCCAAAGGAAATAAAATAAGACTGTCTAAGGATGCACAAAGGATGCGCGCCATGCAAATGCGAACGCGAACGCGAACGAGAACGAGAATGCTAAAAGCTCTGCGGATAGGCGGGGCAACTGGGTCGGCGTACTGCAAGTGTGCCAGAGCTGCCTGCCATGGCTCATTTAACCTTCAATCAAAAGCAAACAGTCAACGAGGCCAGAGGCTGAATCAGAGCCATATACGCCATCTCGAATAAGAACCACGGCTCAGCTGCCTCATCACACACGGCCATGGTCATTGGCAGCCTTAAACAGGCTGTTTCGCTTTTGTTTCCCCACGCCGTTAATCGCCGTGTGTGGGCGTGAGCGTGGGCGTGGGCTTTATACAGTGAATGTTTACTTTAGTTTACGTTGGCCAGGCAACCGAATCACCTTGCACCGTCTGCTGTTTTATTTATCAACTCATAGCAGAGCGGCAACAGCAAAGGCAAAGGCAAAGCCATTGGCAAAGCCAAAGCGAAGCATAATTTTACAACAAGGAAATTGCAGCTGGGATGTCAAGTGGAAAGCGCAATGCAATGAACATGATGACAACAACGAAACAACGACAACGACAGCAACTGAAGCAGCAGCAGCAACAGCAGCAGCAGCGCAGCTGCAGATGAAATTCAGCTCGTCAGTTTGATGACGATGGCAGCGAGCTGCAACTGGAATGCCCATAAAAACCGAGAGGACTCAAAATACTCTCAAAATATTTTCCCCTTTTATGGTGCACCTTAGAAATTAAATTAAATGGCTCATATCTCAGCGACAGATGCGGCACTTGCAATAAAAACTACTTGAAATTTCAGTTGTCGAGTTGTCAAGGCGCTTTGTTCACAGCGCCAGAGCTAATATCAATATTTAAATTGCAGTCAAAAGCGTGCTGCTCAAGAAATATATGCGGGTACTCTGAAGTGGCGCATAAATATTTATGCCCCGAGATGTTTAGCTTAATGCAAATACCTACAGCTGGCAAAACAATAAATGTGTATGGAATAACAGTACATTTTTGATGCTAACACAAATTTAAGCGAAACTGTCAACACTCATTTTCTACATAATCACATAAATGCATGTGCGAACACATTTAAGTTTACACAGACCCTTCTGTGTGATTCTCAGATAAGCGGAGACAGGCAATGCCAAAATATTAAATTGTTTTTTTTTTTTTTGTTTGTTTTTTTTTT